ACTGGATAGTGATTTAACTGGTAGATAGCTTTATCCAGTCTCTGGGGGAAGGGCTCCAAGAAGACCAGAATTCCATGAGCTCCAGCACACTTAAATCACTGGGCTGTGGCCATTCTAATCATACATCTAATAGTCCAATGTTTTATTCTCACCTCATCTAGTGTGTTCCTCAGTTTGTTCTGAAGAAGTAATAATGACACTGAAACATCTACAAAAAAAAATAACTAACATTAACAATAAATTAAGGATAACAAGTGAACATAATTGAAAAATAGTAATAAATCTACTTGGATACATTTTTAACACAGACTGAAAATTCTTGGCTGTTTAATTTAAAAATCATTTTTTTTAAACTTAGAACTAGCTAAAAATTCAAACTCTAAAATAAAAATCAAGTTACTGCCAAATGTTCAAATATTGTACTTCTATGAAATAACACAAGTGACTAACGACTAGGTCACCTTGCTTGACAATGTCTTTTTCAATAGATGACAGCAGCGCTTTGTATTCCTAGGTAAAAAAGAATTTGGAAATGAGGGTCAATAAAAGATGTCTCCTGAAAAATCTTTGTCTGATCAGCCATGTCCCTGCCTACCTCAAAGTAACAGGACAGTGCATTGGCGAATGCTTGCAGTGTTTGGGTTGACTTTGTCTCTGGATCTAGAACTGATGACACAAACTTCTGTAAAGAAACAATTTGTTGGCCAGCCGTAGCAAATGACGACAGTATAATAGAGAGACCCTCCTGGTGATGAAAAGCAAAAACATGAATCATAAGATATTAATGATTATTGATAGCTTGTCAGCCCAATGCTTGCCAAGTTCTGTAATGCATGAATCCAAGGCAAGTTAACAGCCCAGTGTTGATCATTATGCTTTCTGTGCATCTGTTATTGTTTTGGTTTACATCATGGCAAGATTTCTACTGTTTTCCAATTCTGGCTGCGCAGCACAAGTGCAATCCATCCTGGCCAAAAGTGGGTTTTAGGAGATCTGTTACTGTAATGTAAAGATGTTGAGACTTTATTTACAGACCATATTAACTACACAATAATATACCTTGTAGAGTGAGTGATTTACATATTAGACTTGTATAATTATTGGATACCAACAGACCACCTCTGTCAATAACTTTCTTGTTTAGACCAAGAAAAACTATCAAAAACATTTTGAAGAAACTGACTTTAAAATTGTCAAAGGTGGAGCAGAAAATAAATAAATATTTATTATTAATATGGTTTGAGTTTGTAATCGATATAAGGCATGCTCTGATTGGTTAAATCTAGGGCATTATTATCTCGAATGCTCACAGGCCGATTACAGGCCTGCAAAGACAAAGTAAAAAGCAATTTATCCTTGAATATTCAGTCTTTATGGGAAAATCTCAAGTCCTGGACTTGCTGTAATGACCTTGCTTTCAGACAGTCAGTATGTCTGGGTCCTGGTTTGAGATAATCCTGTCAAGACCTCACTACCGGTTACTCAGTTAAAAAGTAGTTAATAGTAATGTTATCTTTTATGTATTGTTAAATCAATAAACCACAGTGTTATATAGTGATCCTTCACTATACAAACTGTAAGTTTGCAAACTGAAGTACTCAGTTGAACAATTATAATATTTTACTTTTGACCTGCTTACTAGACACAACTCACAGGGGTTAGATGAAGAACTTGTATATTGTCTTTAACATCTATTGTACCATTCTGATGCACATGTCTGTAGACAAATGTGTTCTCTGCTCCTGAAAGCATCCTGTAATACATAGAGCAAAATATAAACTAGTACCAATTAGTAATAAATTTGGTTATAAAAGCTTCTTGAAACATTAGCTAAAGTGGAATCTGTATTCATGAACAGATTCCAGTAAATTGGCAAGATGACAGAATGTTGAGGCCGGGTTACAGTGAAAATCTGCATGTAAGAACCTAGTGCTGGCAGAAATTCACCATTTTAATACCCAAAAATAAAAGAACCTGTTTCACCAAGCAAGATCAAGCAGGTTCTTATATACATTGGTTACAGTAAACAATTATGAACTCTTGTTATAGACACAACACTACATGTATATTTACATTTTGTTATCAGTTTTGCTAGGCTTATCATAATACAGTTGTGAATAAATACTCTTTGACTATATATTTAAGGACCAATCCCAATTTATTCATTGTTCTGGTAATCAAGTATGGGTTATTGACCAAGCGTGAAGTCAAGATGGCTGGATATTGGCCAAGTTCTTTTTTTGTGTGTTTACGGACCAAGACAGAGTCGGGGTCCATACACTCGCAAAAAACGAACGAGGCCAATATCAAGCCATCTTGACCAAACAAGCTTGGTCAATAAAGGATTTATT